ATACGAAGTTACCTGAAAAGAGGGACCGAATCGGGTACCGTATATAGGGAGTTACCTGTAAAGAGAGACTAAATTAAGTTTACTTATATACTAAAATAAGATACGAATTTCTATTAGTTTTAGTTTAAATTTTATAAGTATTATTACGTAAAAAGTAAGTATAAATTAAAGCTAAAACCCTTAATATATTAATATAAAAAAAATAATTTAAATATTAAGTAATTTAAATAAGTTTTAATCTTATATTTATAAAAGATTTAAGAATAAAGTTCTTTTCTAACTTCTTACCTAATCGTCCTATATCTTAGGTCTATTCTTATATAGTTTTTAATATAATAAAGAATATTAAATTTAATAAAATACTTATAAAATTATAAGTATTATAAATAATAAATATTAATTTTACGCTAGGCTAGAGTAGAACGGGAGTACTCACGGTAACCTTTTACTCGTTCGCCTTTTTCTTTTAAGTAAGCGTAAGTAATTTACCCTTAAAAGGGCCGCTCTTTTATAGCTGAATTAGCGCTTCTATTAGGTTAGAGTTAGTTAGCTAAATAAAATATACCTTAAGAGTAGCGTTAGGTATAACTAGAGCTCTTATAAATAAAGTAAATACAAGTGTATTATATATTATATTCTATATTATATTATATTTTCGGGTATTATATTTAAATATATTATATTATAAGACTAAAATACCTATAAATGTATTTTAAGTAAAAAAGACCCTTACTTTTTAACTTAGAATTATAAGGCTAATTACAAGGCTTATAAGTGATATTTCTATGTAGTTAAAAAGATTTAAATTAGCTCTTAAATTTTAACTTAAAATTATAAGGCTAATTATAAGGGTTATAAGAAATAATTTTATATTATTAAAAAGAGCTATATTAGCTCTTTAAAATTAAAGCATTAACAAAAAAACTACACTACATGTAGTTTTTTAGTGTAGTTTTTAGTGTAGTATAGTTTTTATAGTTTTAGTGTAGTTTAACTATACTACAATTATATTTATAGTGTAATATATAGTTATAAAGGGAAATTTAAATTATAAATATAACGTTAATTATAAGACTTATAAGGTTGTAATTATTATACTTAAATAGAGCTAATTTAGCTCTTTATAATGCATTAGCCTTTATACGTATAACTAATAAATTAAGCGAGTTATAATAGGTTAAATCTTAGCTAAAAATTAAGATCTACTTTTTTAAAATAAGAGATTAAAAGCTTAATATCTCGCTTAATATCCACATTTTAAGGTTAATTTTTAAAGATTTAAAATCACGTGATTTTTAGCTTTATTTTAATATATAATATGCTTATATAAGCTTTTTTTTA